TGGCTTAGTGCCTAAGGCATTTGACTGCTAACAAGAAGGCTGGCAGCTCAAACCCACCAGCCACTCCTTGGAAGGAAGACTGGGCAATCTACTTCTGTAGTGATACTGTCTCAGAAACCCAAGGAGTGGTCATTATGAGTCGGATCTAACTTGACTGCAGTGAGTTTGGTTTCTTTTGGTTTTTACCAGAGCTCCCTAGAGATATGTACTATAGGTTTAACTAAAAACTTCAAGCCTTTCTGATTTAAGAATTCAACTTGATTCTTAAAATTTTTCATGACAAGTAAGACCTAGTTACGCAAGCACTAAAATTATAGTCTGCACTACCTAAAATAAAATTACTTAAGATGGTGGCTATTAAATCCAATCTCTCTAAGTTGTGTTCTGCAGAAGAGAAATATACTGTTGATTTATGTTTCTAATGAAACAGTATTTTCCTTGCTGGTGACACACAGCTGGGAAATATAACTAATACATCAGCTGCCAGAATCTTAGATTCACAAAAGTCTCCACAGGATTAAAGTAACAAGCTCAACTTTACATGAAGAAATTGTGGAAAGATAAATGTCAACCTTTGAACTAAGATTAAAATTACCACATGGATAAATGAAGGATTGAGGAAAACTAGCTTAAGCCCATGTCAAATATCTTAGAGTTTAAGGTGATCCCAAGTTCCATGTGCATTATCTGTGACATAGTTATCATGTGCCCTTGAAGCACAGGGTGTAGAAATGGACATCAAATGCCCAGAAGAGAAAATATGAGTCAACTGTATTCTACACTGGTCACTCCTCTTACGTATAGTATACTGTTTAGTTTTGAGAGTCACATTTTGCCGGAGATGTCAGGTGAGGAATACCCAGGTACTTGGCGTATTTGGATTAGAAAGAAAACCCAGGGTAGCATTGTGGGGAGTTGGAAAGGGAAAACTACTGTGGTAGTTAGCTCTTTCTAACACATGGAGGCAGGAAAAGATTTGTTCTGAATAGTTTCAGAGGACTATGTGGATTTGCAGAGAGAAATCTTGTGATTCATATATCAGAAACACTTTCTAATGGAGAAGCTCTGGCAGTACAGTGGGTAAGGCATTTGGCTGCTAACCAGAAGGTTAATGGTTTAAATCCATCAGCTGCTCCATGGGAGGAAGATAAGCCAATCTACTTCCATGAAGATTTATAGCCTTGGAAACCCTATGGGGTCACTATGAGTCAGAATTAACTCAATGGCACCGGGTTAGGTTTGGTTTTCTAGTAGAGTTTTCCAGAATAATTTGAGTGATTTATGAGGCAAGATCCTTGTCACTGGGAACACTTAAGCAAAGGCAGAACCACAGCATATTGTGTTGTTGTTGTTGTT